AAACTGTGGCAAACTCAACCCACACAGGATAGATCTAGGATATAAGGACCCTTACCACTTTTGCCTTCCTGCAAACAGAAGACGCAGCCTGGCAACAAATTCCACAGCTCACACAGGTGTGAGTGACCAGGAAGCTGCTCCCTCCCTGACTGGCCACCAGGGTTTTTTTGTTGTTGTGTGCCATAGTGGCTAACTGGAACCTCTAGTGACAAGGTTAGGGAATACAGTAAATAGTAAGTGGAAGAGTATACCCCTCCTACCCCGTGACTAGTGGCCCAAAAGAAGGACTTGGACTGTAGAAGCAGGATTCAAGAAGCCTAGGGCCACCCACAGGGCAATGAATGGGAAGATAGCACTGCTGTTCCCTATGGTGAGCAGTGTGAATGGAGCCAACAAAGTGGAACAGAAGAAACTGCCCAACAAGATCTGGGAGGGGCCAACTGCACACTGGCTGGGAAGTAGCCTCAGGCTATCTCTGGTGCCATGGAAACTGGAAGAGCCATGCAGAGACAAACAGGTTAAACAGACATGGGTGGGATGCCAAGAGACGTCCAGAGAGCTGCTGGTGGAACACTGGCTCCAGCCTCACATCTGGAAAAAAAGACCAGCCCCATACCCAGAACTAATCCTACCACAGACTTGGTGGCTCAGATTTGGACTCTGTCTTGAGCACTATCAGAATTGTGGGCATCAGAGGAATTTTTTTGGTTTTCTTTCTTTCTTTCTTTTTCTTTCTCTCTTTCTTTCTTTCTTTCTTTCTTTCTTTCTTTCTTTCTTTCTTTCTTTCTTTCTTTCTTTCTTTCTTTCTTTCTTTCTTTCTTTCTCTTCCTTCCTTCCTTTTTTCTTTCTTTACCTGTTTCATTTTCATTTATCTGTGTTTTTTTGTTTAGATTTTAACTTGTATTGCTTTTTTTTGCTTTGACATATTTTTCTATTTCCTCATCTATCTTGATTTTTTTTATATTTTCATGCAAGTAAATGTAGTCTCTAGTCTTCCTGGTTCACCTTGATATTCTTTAGCTTTGTTTTTTATTCTTTCTCTCCTGTTATCTCCTCCTGTTTTCCAAAGCTTGGATGATCATCCTTTCTTTCAACCTTGCTGCTACTAGAGTCCTCTTCATTTATTTCTCTGTTTTATCCTCTATCCCTCTTAATTCCTCCCAATAAGGTAAAAGCTCTCTATAAAGGGGAAACTCAATATATAAAAGTTCCTGGTTTATGTTGGATTTTGTTATATAATTGTAGCTCTTGCTTCCATGCTTCAAGGTACCAAATTAATAGATACCACAGTTTGTCATATTCTAGACTGTGCTTGATGATATTGTTATTGCTGATTGCACTACTTTAATCAGAATGCCATACCTCTTGTAATCAGTTGTTCTCCCTTGTATAATAACATGGTGATTATCTGGGGTTGTAACCATCACAGTAGTCTAGTACCAAAGTACTAAGTTCTAAGCTAAATAGTGACTTCGCATCTCTAATAAATGGGAAGAGAGAATCTTGGACAGGAACAAAGACCAAGATCCAGTTACACCTAGAAGACTTCTCTGAGGAATAGACATATCCTAGGTTAGCTGTGAGAGTAGTGATAAAACTATCTACCATAAGAAATTTACAAGCGTCAAAACAGAAAACAAATTAAAATTTAGAAAACGACAAGACGCAGAAGCAAAATGCAACACTCAGCTATTTTATCTTTGACCAAGAGTCCAAACACCTTCAGTGGAAGAAAGATAGCTTCTTTAATAAGTAGCACTGGAAAAACTGGCTTTCCACATGCCAAAGACTAAAACTAAACCCATGTCTCTCACCATGCACTAAACTAAAGCCAAAATGGATCAAAGAATTTTTTTTGCTCGTTACAAAGATTTAAATATTAAATAAGAAACACTAAATCTTCTGGAAGAGAGAATAGGTAGAACTCTTGAAGACATAGGTACAGGCAAAGACGTCATGAACAAAGCCCCAGTTGCACAGGAAATGTTATGAATAATGAACAACTGAGATCTCATCTTACTAAAAAGCTTTTGCACAGAAATAATGAAGAAGGTGAAGAGACACCCAACAGAGTGGGAAAAAGTTTTTGTCAGCTCTTCTTCAGACAAAAGACTGATATCTAGAATATATAAAGAACTGAAAAAAAAAATCAAACCTTCCAAATTTGAAGACCCAATCTAATAATGGACATCTGAGATGAATATATACTTCTCAGATAAAGAAGTAGAAACAGCAAAGAAATATAGAAAAAATGTTCAGCATTACTGGTCATTTGAGAAATGCAAATTAAAACAATGCTGAGGTTTCATCCCACTCAGAAAGAATGGCTGCTATCAATTAATGAACCAATAACAAATGCTGGTGGAGCTGTGGGAAAAAGGAACCCTTCTCCATTGTTGGTGGGAGTGTAGACTGGTGCAACCATTGTGGAAATCAGTGTGGAGAGTCCTCAAAAAACTAGAACTAGAGGTTCCATTTGACCCAGCTATTCCTCTTCTGGGCATATTCCCAAAAGAAGTAAAAGCATCATACCACAATGATATATGCACACCCATGTTTATAGTGGCAATTTGTAATAGCTAAAACTTGGAAATAACTCAAATGTCCATCAACCGATGCAATGGATAAAGAAGATTTTTTTATACAATGAGTTCTGCCCAGCCATAATGAAGGATAAACTTGAGACATTTTTAGACATTTAGATGAATGTACCTAAAGTCTATACTCCTAAGAGAAATAAATCACACCCATGTGTAAATATTGTGTGTTTCTTTGTTGTGAGAAACTGAAAGTATAAAAAAGGACCAAAATATATTACAGATAATGTGAAATAGGAAGAAAAAGTTCAAATGGGCAGGGGCATTAAGGCGGGAATGGGGGAAAGGAAGAAAGGGCAAAACAAAAAAAGATAGAAAAATTGAAACAAATATTTTGTAAATAAGGAGGGGAAGGGTTTGGAAGGAGGGGAGAGGAATGGGAAAAAAAGGAATCAAGAGGAAAGAGAAGAATGAAGATATGTACAGGTACAAATTCCATATGGTGAATGTGGTTATTATATATATATATTTTTTTTTATCAATAAACTTAATTTAAAAAAATAAAAAGGCGATGACTGTGCCTAAAACTTCCTGTGATCTTGATGTTGAGTAAGATGTTTTCCTGGATAAATTGTCTCAAAGTGTACCTATTAGACTAATCCTATGAATTTTCTTCGGTTAAGATCACTTGAAATAATGTATGTTCTTAAAATAATAATATATATGTGACATAATATATATGTTCTTATTAACGCCAGTGAAACCACATATTTAAGAAAAATTGGGTCAAGATTATATCACTCTAAAACAGAAAGGCATCTTCTTTTGTCTATCCTCTGCTCTATATAATCTGCACATTTATGCCATGTAGTGTTCACATAGATGTGTTGCCTAAGAGTTGTTTGAGGTCTGGCTCTTCTAAGCTAACAAATACTATCATAAAGATTGTCCATGCCACTATACAATCTTCATATTTGTCATTTTGATGACCATAGAATTTCATTTATTACTTACACATCAGTTTATCTAGTCACCTGTTTGGGGATTATTTGATTTGTTTGTAATCCTTTAATGTTGTAAATCATAGGATTTTGATCACATTTTCACAGATAAATTTTTTGTTCTGGGGCATCATTTCTTTAGGATAACTCCCCAGTGATATTTTCCAAGCTTAATAGTATAAAATTTTATTTAGGAAACTAATGTTTGCTTTGGGTATTATGTTAGTTACTTTTTTCTTGTTGCTGCGACAAAATACCCAACACCTAAAGTTAGAGGGGAAGGGGTTTATTTGGCTCACAGTTTGTAGAGGTTTCTGTCCATAATCAGCTGGCTCCAAAGCATGGATAGCAAAGAGGCCTTGGAGAGGAGAAACAACATGGCACACACAAGGCCACAAAAGTCACAAGAGAGTTTAACACATCTTTCTGCCCCTTTCATCTCATTCAGACTACCAGGATCAGGGCAACACCAAACTAATTACTCACTTAGCATCACACATTCCAGATTCAACTACCACCGAAAAAGAAAGTCCCATCTCATATACATGAGGCTTTGCAGGAAGGGGGAAGGATCTAAACACAAATCATAACAGGTATACAGATAAATAAATGATTCTCCTCTTTGGTGCACATAATGATAATGGCTACTTACATTTTTTAAACTGAAACAAGTTATAAGAATTTTTTTTTTGTTTGTTTGAGACAGGGTGTCACTATGTAGTTTAGACTGCTCTGGAACTCACTGTGTAGCCCAGGCTGGTCTCAACTCACAGAGATCCTCCTGCCTCAGCCTCCCGAGTGCTGGGATTACATGCGTGCGCCACCACGCCCGGCTAGGAATTTTGTTGTATTAAAACAAACCTTGGACCTCTTTGAAATGAAGAAAGGAGACAGATGGAGAGAAGGGGAGGGAGAGGAAGGGAATGGGGTGAATAAAAAAAAGAATGAAGACATGTTTTATGCATGTATCAACCCTGCATGATGAATGTAATCGTTAGGTACTAGAAACATGCACTAATAAAAAGTTTAAAAATTATACAAAATAAGATTTTTCAGTCTTTTATTTTATTTTATTTTATTTGGTACCGGGGATCAAACTTGGGACCTTGTGCTTACAAGGCAGGTGGCAACATCACTGAGCTAAATTCCCGGCAAGACTTTTCAGTCTTAAAGGAAACAGAGACGTTAAGCTACTCATTTTTGGGTTTTGGCTTTGGTTAGAGACCTGCGGAGTTCATTCAGGTGGGTTCTCAAGTCCATTTGCAGGTGACTGCTCCTGGCCCTGCTTCTCTTCCTGTTTGCCTAGCGAAAGAGTGCAGTGATTTTCATTTGATAATGTTCAAGTTTTGAAACGTGGGTAGCAGTAACGCATCTCAAGAGTGACGTGCTTTGTGTTCTCAAGAAAACTACTTTGATTTACTATGATGTCTGGCTAACGAAGATCTTTTTCGTTTTGTTCCAGGGACAAGCAGATTTTTTTCTTGCTTCTGGTTTAGTTCTACAATCGACATTGTGGTGTGGATTAAAGAATTTCTCAAAATGCTCCCAGGCACAACATCCTTGCTTTTGAATATCTGCAGATCTCTAAGAACATCTATAGAGATACATATGTGTGTTCCTAATTATATACATTTCAAGTACGCATAAGGGAAATGTCATTGTCTGATCTGTTTGTATGATTGATTGCATGGAAGAAAACAGGTTGGGAGACAGATTTCTTCTAAGTCAGAGTTTTTTGATTAGATAAAAGAGTTTTAATTTAGAGCAGTTAGAGTAAAGAAGGCACATTTCTTTTAAAAAATTAAAATTGAGTACACTGGTTCTTCATATGAAAACCTTTTTTTCCCCTTTCCCTCCTCATATTGTTCAGAGCGTCTAATTTCTCCATTAGAAAAATAGTTCCCTTGTCAAATAAATCTTATATAAAATGGGCATCTTTGTTTGTTTGTTTTTTGAGACAGGGTCTCACTATGTAGTTGAGACTGACCTGGAGCTCACTGTGTAGCACAGGCTGGTCTCCAACTCACTGCGTTCCTCCTGCCTCAGCCTCCCAAGTGCTGAAGTTACAGGCGTGCACCACCACGCCTGGCCATAAAATGGGCATCTTTTGAACTTAAGATTTGACAAATTATTATTCTTTTGATTATTGGTTGTTTCTTTCTTTCTTTTTGAACTGGGGATCGAAGTTGGGACCTTGAGCTTGCAAGGCAGGCTGCAGAACCACTGAGCTAAATCACTGGCCCGATTATTCTTTTGTTTGTAGGTAATCATTTAAAAATATATTTTGGTTTAACAGCTTTTTTTCTTTTGAGATAGGGTCTTTCACTATGTAGTTGAGCCTGACCTGGAGCTCACTATGTAGCATAGGCTGGTGTCAAACTCACAGTGATCCTCCTGCCTCAGCCTCCCGTGTGCTGGGATTACAGGCGTGCGCCACCACGCCATGCTATGATGGATTTTTTGGACAAATACTGATCTCACATAGGAAAACATTTGAAAAATGTCTACCCATACCTTCAATTTGCAAACAGCCTCAAAGCTACCCTAAAACTGAGGAGTACTTGCTTCTGTGTGCAGGCTAAAAGAGATCATGTCCTTGGAGGGGAGATTGGAATAAGGAGGGAAAGGGTCATCGAGTCCTGACAGAGAGCGTAAGAGAAGTAAGAGTCGTGTAGTTACTTCATAGAAGAAAATAATTCACTAACCACTGTAGGCCTTGGCCTGTATTAGAAAGGCCAGCGCTCCGGGTGATAGCAAATGGCCCGGGGCCTGGTGTAGAGCCATGGAAGCAAATGTAGCTACAGAAGGTACCAGAAAGTCTTCTGAGAGTAGGATTTTCAGATCCTCTCAGTTGCCTTCCACAGTCTCATAATACAGGGCTGGGCCCTTAGCCCTGCATAAAAGAAAGAGAAACTGCTATTATGAGGCTCACTGGAACCCATTCCATTCCCCTCTAATTCTCTGGATTAAGCAGTGGGTTACTGAGCTTCAGGGAACTTCTTCCCTGGAGGTTGGCTGCCTGATAGTTTTCCCTGAGCTCCCAAGCCCATTTGTTTGCACGGATAGTAGTACTTGCTAGAGAGGCACATTTATTTCTGCAGCAGAAGAAAGTGCCTGGGTGGCATTCTTGGATTAAGCAGAAGGCCGCGCATACAACTGTCATGACAGCCATCTCTGAACATCTTGAAAGTGTGTGTAAGTTGCTATTTAGGTGTTTTGCTATTTAGGTTTTGGAGTGAAAAGTGAAGAAGAGTGCTTTACTTTGATTGAAATCAGGCTGAATAGCTCCCTGAGCCTCCTAGCTTGGGTCCGTGAATACCACTTCGGAAGCGTGAGGTGTGCTAATTCCTTGCACCACTCCTGATGAGAGTAACAGAAGAGGAGCTACCAGTATGTCAAGTATTTCAACTCAGGAAGAACTAGGGGCTCTTAAGTTTTAGACGTATTTGCCCATCTCATCTGTGTACTGTGTTTTCATATGTTATGGCTGCATTCAGTGTATAATTGTTTTATGAAAGCAGGGCTTGAGGGAAAGCATTCCTCCTGTTCTATAAACCCGGCTGAGCGGGGTGGAACTGAGGTGAGTGTGATGAACTAGGCCGGGCTGAGCCGGGTGTGCTGAGGAAAGTGTCCTGGGCTGGAGTAATAGGCAGCAGGTGCTAGAGACCAGCAAAGATGATGGGGTGGAACTGTTTCCTAAAACCAGGGCCCACCCTCCTGCTCACACCTCCTTGCCTTTGGAATACAGCTGATTATTTGATAGCCTCATGATCATCGTACTCCATGCTCCTTCTCTGCCAACCCCACCCTCACTTTGAAATCGTTTTTGTTCATAGAGGACCAGGCTAATGCTTGTCTTTCAGCAAGCCCTCCCTGATGCCCACCCCACCATCCCACTGTGTATTTCCTACATTGGAATACAAACTATGGGAGCCTTTACATTCAGTACTACCCTGTAGTGTAGTAAGTCATTTCTCCTCTGCCTGCCCCATTCGAATGAAAGAGAAGGGATGTGTTTCCCTCACTGTGGTCTCAAGAAGCTTGGCATAGTAACCAGATTCACACATAAAATTAGACTTTATTAGCATGTTTATGAAGAATATACCAATGACAATTTACAGCACCTATTTAAGAAACACAATGATTACTAAATAATACTCAGTTAAATCACAAACTTAGATCTCTCTGCATTGTCCAAGCAGGAGTCCGTTATTCCTGTCCAACAAAAAAATGCACATAACCATTTTAGAAAGGATCTAACTAAAGTCAGCCGATATATGAAACCTCAGCCTTGGGCACAGTCTCTGAGACTACTGGCCCAGGTAACACTATAGAGTCACAGCTCAGATTTGACTGGGGTGTGATGGGGTTTCTCTTCTTGCTGAGAGGAGGATAAAGTCCACCCCTTTTGTGCACCTGAAGATAAGCTGTGCCAATGGGAACTTGGCCCCAGGATTGGAGTTTGACAATCCTTTATAAAGGCACTTTTAAATTACAAATACTTTTTTTAAAAGGAAATGTTTAAATTTAAAATGTAAAGTATTAAAGAGAACTTTTATGGTCGGAATGTATTTTTTTCTATTCTCAGTTTCAAAGTAGCACATAAAATTTGTTACTAAAGGCAGTTTAATGATTTAATAAGGGTCTATATAATATAGTTTTCTCAATAATATTTTCTCAAAATATAATAAAATTATCTCATAGTTCTCTTTTGTCTGTTGCAAATACCACTAATTTGCAATTAGAATTCTCAAATGCGTCAGCCATGACCCTCAGAAGAGTAATGGGAGTCACCCCTCCATCCCCTATTGTCTTGAAGACAACCAAGCAGAGGGGGAAAAACGCATAGCAGCCCTTTTCTGGGTTTGGGGACTGCTCCGGGAGGGCTGGGATAGTCACAATGTGGATCTGCTAAGTGCAAATCCTGTCACTTCACGTCAGGTACTGGCTACAGGCTGGGTCTTGAAAGTGCAGCATTCTTTTCATCCTGCCAAGAGGACTCCGACAGTCTATCCAGAAGTCCTTGCTTCTCAACAGGGAAAGGATTGTCTTCTTCGATTTTGCATTCTATACATTCAGTTCATGGAAAACAGGCATACAGGTGCCAGGCGTGTTGTGGAGAACAACCAGGGAGGTCTTCAGCCGAGATGATAGGTTCACATTAGTGACCAGTCATACCAGAATAAGTTTCTGCCTGTCATGTGCTATGCCAGGGATTTAAGGGATGAAAGGCACCACTTCCTGCTAGCTCACTTTCGAGCCATCTTACATATCTTGTAGTATACACTTTAAAAATAAAATTTTTTAAAAACAAAAATACTATGTTCTATTTCAGAAACTGACCAAAGTGTTGGCCGCACATAGAATCTGCATGCATTTAATTAACTAACTTTACATGTACATACTACTCACTTTTTAGAACAACACTATCTACGAACACACACGATCTAATACCTAGCACCTTATCTCCAAGAACACTTACACTTTATATACAGGTAGAGCATACATTTAGAAGAATTACTACAAAAGTTTCACATCACCGAAACAGGACAAAAATACCAAATTTTGAACATTAAAAGTTATAATACAGATGAAGTCGGGGGGGAAGCCACTCATGTTTGAAGCACCGAACTAAAACCAATCTTGTTCCTGACTATGTTTTAGAGATTCAGGAATGAATTCTGACATAGCAAACCTCCTATGAGTGATCAAGTTACTGTGGTTTCCCGTTGGTGTGTATACTCTGAGACATGGAGGCTTTGAGAGGCAATGATGGAAATACCTAACTCCTATTGGCAACTTTCGTTTGCCTTGAGGATTCATGTCCTTCTTATTAAAGAGCAGTGAACTGGTCAGTGACATGGCAGTCAATGGCCAAGTTCACTGGATTTTAGCTTTCCTATTTATTCCTCCAGCAGTTTTGCTGCTTATAGCAGGAAGCGTGCTATAATAAGCTGAGCATCTGTCAGGGAGGAGAGACTATAGAATTGGAAAGATTGTATGACAAAGGTTTGCCTTCTTTGGGAGTTTTAGACCATGGTCTGCTTTTCCTACTCATGCCTCTTCTCTTCATGCCGAAGTTTGGAGGGGCTTTGAGCAGCCAAGTGCACCCATCCAGCCCATAGAAGACGAGAGAGATAAGGAGGAAGAGAGTGAAAACCATACTGTTTCTGCTTATCTTGGTCCTTGGCTAGCAGCCAACTAGTCCTTTAATCCTCTGTCCACTTTAGAAGGAAAAGACATTTTGCTTGGAGAAACGTCTCCTGACAACCTGGGGTTTATCTTCAAGAGAAATACAACAGAAAACACCTTATGAAGTGGATTTTTTTTTCCTCAAAAATATGGGAGAGGGTAGGTAAGAAGGAAAAATCACAGTTCAGTAGGTTACTGCTTCACCCCAGTGATCCTAAGCATTTTATCTTAGAGATTTCAAATTACCAGAGGATACATACTTTTTTCTCCTCCAAGTGGTGTGTTTCAGACACTTTTAAGAGAGTTTTGGCAAAGTCAAAGAACGAAAGATATTTTAATCATATAATTTTTTTTCAGGTAGTACGAAAAATTCTTTGGAAGCAACTTTACCTAGCATAATTGGCTGATCATGTACAAAATAAGGCAATCTCAGGCAACTTATAATTTTATAGGTAAAAGATTTTGTGGGTTTTTGCTGAAAGAATTAGATGATATTATAGGACTGAATATGTTCTCAAAATGTGTTGAATAGAGTGCTTTTTAGAAATAAGGTGCCTAGCTCCTCCTAAATCATGAAATGGCACTTTTCCTTACCTGTTGAATTTGAAGTAGGTATTGAGTCATCTCTTGGATCGGAGTTGGGCAGACTGAAAAGTACCTCGAATTGCTGCTGGCCACTGCTATGGCTTCAATGGGCCCTGGGTCCCTGTGAGTCTCATAGCTCTAGGTTTGGAAGGGATGGATGGGCAGTGGGTGAACACACACAGCTTCAGGCACAGATGGGCATTCCTGACGGGCCAGCACAGCAGGGGCGGGGGGAGAGCAGGTGAAGGCAGTGGGCAGGAAGGCAAAAGGGAGGCAGGGGGCTGGAAGTGCGCAGGCCTTTCCAGCAGCTGGTATGTGTGGTGTCTTGTGAAGAAGGGCCCTCACATCACCCCAGTGACAGAAGCCCAAGGCTTGCTTCTTGCTGCTGCTTTCCCAAGCTTGTTGAAATTGGTGTTAATCAAAGAACCTGTGACTCCTTGGCAAACTAGATGCCCTATTCTTAAGTAAGAGAATCATTCCATTTAAAATCACATCATTTCAAAGTCGTGTTTGTCTGGCCTCTGTACTGTAATGGGAGTTTTTACTGCACATATGAAGTAGCCTTGGCAAAAGAATACATCCTTTAAAAACATTGGGGAAAAGCAATTGCACACGAGGATCTGCAAGGCTAATGATGCCTTTTTTTGTGTGTGCTTTCAGATTTTCAAATGGCAAAACAGTATGTGCAGCAAAACCTCATTAAGTGGATGGTGCTTTATTCAAAATAGCAAAAAAGAAAAAAAATTGAAGCAGTTCCTATCTCTAAGCTAACCAGAGGCCCTATTGTTCAGTAAGAAGAAAGTGTCATCAAAGCAGAATGCCCTTAATTCAAAAGTCCTCTTTTTCAGCATCTTATTTTCAAAAGGTCTTCACCTTTGAGGAATCCAATTTGACAAAAGAATGGACAGAGACTAAAATAGGTAAAAGGGAAACTTTAGAAGGAACTGGTGAGTCTCGGCACCCTAGAGAATGTTGTGTTTGCCGTTAGATGGACTTACCACACTTGCACAGGCTCTGGTTCCATTTTGGATTTGAGATTTTGGCAAACAATTCTCTCTGATACACTTTGAAGGGGGTGAGCTTTAAAAATAAAACAAGAAGTTCGGTTTCAACAAAATGTTGGAGACATTTATGCTTGAAATCCCTTTTCCTGCTCAGTAACAATTTCCACTAAAAGGACAGGCTATAGCTACTTTGAACTCCTTTGACCATTGCAGTCTTGCAAGGCACTAACCATCCCTCTGTAAGAGGACTGATCACATAAGCCGTTTCTGCACCTGGGTATCCCTTAAGGACAGGTCATTGCAAGAATCCAGCAATAAATTGGTATAATGCATTTATGACTATTCACTTGCTTCACAAATTTTTCAAGAAAAATAAATGAATTGTGAGTTTGAACTTTAACCCGAATGCCTTGTTTGAATTACCACATGGTACAAATTAGAGGAGTCAGAATGCAGTTTCCATGGGCATGTTGTTTTGACAGGTCAACTGGATGCTGTTTGGTTCTAGCCCCTCTCCTACATTCTGAATATGACAATCCCAAGTTTCCATGCAGACATAGTCATAGCCCAAACACACTGCTGTTTACCTCTACCCCTTGAGAAACTCATGTTGGAATCTGTGAGGAGGAAGAGATAAAAAGAAATATACATGACCTGGACATATATATAAATGAAAATTTGAGTCTTCATAAAGATAGCAATCACACCAGAATGAGGCTAAACTCTGAATATGGCCAGGCTTATACAAAACCAGCTGGTTAACCTTTTTGTTTAAGTAAATACTCCATTCTCTCCCTCCACCCATAACAGTGGATTTTTTGCATGGACACTTAGTTGGCTGCAGAATTGCTTTAATTTGGATTTCAGGAGGATGAAAACCACCAGCTTAACTGTTTTTTTGGCTCCATGTTATTTGGTCTGAACCCTCTGAAATAGGTACATCCTTGCCCAAAGTGATTTCAGGTTTGAAAAATCTTCCTTTGTATTTACCCTAGGGATAATTTAGATAGTACAAAGGTTTTCCCAAAGGGATACATTTCATCAGCAATAATTAGGATATGTCTGATTTGAATGCTTTGATTTGGGGGGGGGTTGTTTGGAATAGGTCAGATGTTTTCCAGCTATTATAAAACCTTCCTGTCATATCTGACTCTCTTACACTTCTTTCCCATATCTGAAGAAAGCTTAAAAGTTTTAGAGAGAGCTATGGGCTGAAAAGACACATGAGTAATGCGGGAGGAAGAAAAATGTTCATCCTATTTTTTGCCTAGGAATTCAGGAACAAAAAAGAGATTTCTGATAGACATATCTCTTGATTGGCAGTGTGAGTTTTGCAGAACTTTGACCACTCATAGTTGAATTTCTCTTTTTCCTGGAAATAATTTGACCAAAAAGGTTAATCTGAAACAAAACAGAGCAAAACAAGTGATTGAAGGAGAACTGGAACATTCTTATGAGTATACTGATTCAGTCACAAAGGGGAAATTGGAAACTAGTTGCATGCTTTCTGTCTCACTATTATTCAAATAGGAGATGGAAATGATTTTACTGTCAGTCGACAATTTTCCACTTCCATGGAGAGAGCTCAGTCCTACCACCTGTGTAACCCAGGATTTTAGAGGAAAAAACCCAACTGGTTAGCCCCAAGGATGTGGTCTCCTTCTCTCCCTTTGGACTAGCTTCCCATTTCATATGTGTCCTTCCACATTTCTCCATCCTTTTAAGGGATCTGGAAGCGTTTCTGGTATTCTAACTACACAATACCCTTTATCTTAATTTGCGTGACAGTCTCTGCATCACACTGTGGGTCTCGCCAGTTCAGAATTTGGCTCATACGCTGATCAGTCCATCAAGATCTGCATCTTGGGCTTCGTGGATGATTTGGTCCATTGCTTTTCCTTCATTTGAACATAAACTAACCCCTGGACAATATTAAGCTCCTGACTCGAGGACCAAATAGTCTTTGAGTCCACAGGCATCATCTTCCCTTTCCCTCAGATATAAAGCTGGCATGTTCTAGCTCTGGGGAGAAGGGCAGAATACCAAGCATAGTTCCCAAATAGATAGCCCTTGTTGCTTTAAGAAATTTAGAGCTTAATACTTTTCTGGGGGTAAAATTTCAGCCAGAATCCTCAAGTACATGCTTTGAGGGGCACACCTTTAAAGGAAGAACCCAGTTCCCAAATCTTCCAAATCTACCTTGTGGTGAAAAAGGATTTGTGTGCAACACCTTTGCCTGAAATGGTATGGGTTGGCATTAATGGGAGTGTGGGTGGTCCACTGAAAAGAAAGCTGCACTTGTTTTCTGTTTTGTGGACAGTGCAAGGTTTGCATTAGCACTAACTTCAAGGTGAAGTAGCGGAATCACGGGAGGGGACGATCTTGCCTTCAGTCCCTCCCTCTGAACCTGCTTCGCTTCCAGGCACTTCTGGATGGCTACCTTCTTCTCTTTCAGGCTTCTTCCTGCAGAAAAACTTCTTCAGAATTTCCTGGATTTCCTTCTTGATGGTCTTGTGCATGTATCCATAGATGTAGGGGTGAATACAGCACTGCAGGAAGAAAAGCCAGATTATTATTGTGATCACCCACTGGGGTACCTTGGTTTGGACATCCACCCACACGGCCAGGACTGCCAGAAAGCAGTAGGGCCCCAGGGAGAGCACGTAGGAGAAAATGATGAGGAAGATCACTTTAGCAGCCTTGCACTCATAACACCTGGGCAGAGGAGGGTGGGTGTTGCTGTCCTGATGACTGGTTAGCATGTTTTCTGGGATGGTCACGGCTTCGATGTCACCCTCACTGAAATTGACGTCATCCTCAGCAAACTCTATGTCATCTTCGCCCAAGTCGATGCTGCACTGATTGACCTCTGCGTGGCCCTTGTTTGCCTTTGTGCTGCTCTCTGTCACTTGAGCGCCACCTTTCTTATCTTCTGCGCTGCCAACACTGACCTCCTCGCTGCTGCCCTTGGCCTCTGGGATACACTCACTCATCTGCACACTTCCTTCCTTCCCCTTCATGCTGCCATCCTCTTCGGCCTCTGAGTCGCCCTCCTTGGCCCTGGCCTCTCCTTCATCCTGGCCATTGAACTCGCTCTCATCCTGCAACTTATCCTTCTCTGCTCCCCCTTCATGCTCATTCTTCACACGGTCCTTGACTCGCACACCCAAGCTGTGGCTCTTGACTCTGTACAGCAGGGCATGCTGCCGCCGGGCTGCACCGAACACCACAGAGTAGCATGCGACCATGACAATCAGTGGGATCACAATGAAGGACACCACGCTGAGAATCGTGTAGGTGGGGCTGGACCCCCAGATCATGGAGCAGAGGGCATTGCGCTCATCAAAGCCAGCCTGGCCCCAGCCATAGAGCGGGGGTGTGCTCTGCAAGAAGGCCACGATCCAGGTGCCATAGAGGAGCATGTAACCACGGCGCTGGGTCATCTTGGATGGGTAGGAGAGAGGGTGGATGATGGACAGGTAGCGATCTATGGACACCACGACAATGGTGTTTACACTGGCAAAGGCGAACAGGTGAGTGAGGCTAACCAGGGCTGTGCAGAAGTGGCTGTTGAGGGGCCAGAAGAGAGGCACGGAGGTGGCCACGACCCAGGGGGCCACGAGAGCAACCTGCAGCAGGTCGGTGACGAGGAGGTTAAAGATGAAGCGGTTGGTCATCTGCAGCAGCTGTGGCTTGCGCTGCAACACAAGCGCCAGGACTACATTGCCGATGAAGGAGATGGTGAGGAAGATGAGCAGCACGGTCGCTCGGATGATGCCGTGTGCCAGGCTGATAGGCATTTTGGAAAGGGGTATGCACGCCTGGGTGCTGTTGTTCTCGCGCGTGCTGTTGGTGCAGGTGGGTGCCATGGCGATGGCGGGCAGACCGACTCAGTGCGGGCCGGTGCGCAGACCGCACACAGTGTCTATGCTGGGGATGAAAGAAACACGTGGGCGGGGTTAGTGCCTTGGCAAGAGGAGAAGCCTGGCGGTGCCCAGCCCAGCAGCACTGCTGCAGGACCCCTCCCTCGCACCCTTGCGCAGTCGCAGCCCAGCCCAGGCAGTTTCTCTGGCTCTATCTCTGGCTCTCCGTGTCTCTGCCTTTCTCTCTGCAGGTCTCTGATTTTCTCCTGTCTCTCTCTCCTGCTAGTGCGTGCTCACACACCCTAGGCATCTTCCACACTGTGTCTGGAGTCAGAGTTTTGGTCTCTGGCTAGCTCTCTCACCGGCACAGGTGCTGCACTCTCCGAACCTGCCTGTTTACTAGCAAAGGTCTCCGTCTCTCTCCAGTGTCTCGCTAGGGCACTTTGTGTCTCTTGGAGTATGTGTCTCCCATTTCCTCTAATGCTTCCTCTCTCAGAGACCTCTCACCCCGACGGATGTCCGTTTCTGTTTTTCACTCACTAGCAAGTGCGCAGTCTGCCCCCTCCCCCCGCGGTCGCCTGCAGCTCACCTGTCACTCCCACCTCCCTCCCCTCAGGCTCCCCATCTCTCAGACGCGGTATTTCTTTCACCAGTGCACTTTCTCGGAAGCTGTGTGTGCGCGCGAGCCTCCTCCCAGTCCCCCAGGGTGTCACTCTGCCCCACACTCTGTGTCTTCCCTGGTGTTGAACCCTCTGTCGGTGATGCTGCCTCCCACCTCCCCATTCCTATCTTAGTGGATTCCCCTGACAGCCATCCATCCCTGAGGGTCCCTGGTACACCTGTTGGGTACCACTAGCTGTAACAGCGTCTCTACCAGTGTCTGGGTCTCTCTCGGGTTCCACGTCTACGCATCTCCTCTACCTCCCTGGCACGAGTGCCCCACTCTGTCGGACCCTAGACCCTCCTCTCCATACCTCTCCCTCTCTCCCCCTGTGCTTTCTGAGCCCAGGTGCCTAAGTTCCAGGTGCCGATTTGGCGTCGCCGCCTCTCTCCCCCGGTGTCTAACGCGCGCTTCTCCTTCGCACCTGTCTCTGGCTCCCTGCTTATCAAGCTATCTCTCTGGCAGGTGCACTCCCTACTTTTGGTTTTCCCGTCTCTCCCTGTCCCATCTTGGAACACTTGCTATACTCTGCGCCATCCCTGAGTGCGAGCGCGTCTGTCGCTCTGCATCCCTCTCCCACAGCCCCTCACCTCGGTTTTGCTCGGATGAACTCTGACTCTTTGGGTCTCTGGGTCCCTGTGGTCTTTATTTTGTCATGGAAACCAGCGGCCGCCGGGCCGCCGCGGGCTCTGGCGGATACAGATTCTAGTTTTGGGGCAGGTTTTTTGGAGCGGGTGCGAGGAGGACGCCCGATTCTCCTCATCCCAAACTCATCCTCTACCTCGCACCCAGCTCCGCGTCGGCTGCGGCGCGGGGTGGGAGACTGGAAAAGACGCGAGAGGAGGCAAGGGTGCCGGTGGTGGGGAGAGTCTTCGAGGGGGAGAGGGACGCAGGGGCCCAAAGGGAGTGAGGGACCGAGAAAGAATGGGAGACGTAGAGAAGGCCCGAGACCGAGAGGGACAGAGAACAAACAAGTGCGTGAGAGTGAGCGCCAGTGAGGGAGACAGGAAGAGAGCGGGCGAGAGCGAGAGACAGAGATCGAGAG